CCCAGTTTGAACATCTGGCATTTCTTGTTTCATATATCATAATAGTCTTAGGCTGATTTCGCACTAGAGCCGCCTCGATGTTGCGCCGTCGTTTGCCCCGATACTATTGGTCAATTTCACACCCGAAGCCGCGGGGCTGCATTTGACCCGCGGCTTCGCCCGATTTCCTCCGCAGTTTCGTGATCCTCAAAATCCAGAGATGCATTTAGACCTGATGGATAACAAGTGTTAAGTTTGAAAATCCAGTACGCCTCCCTGCGGAGTAGAACCTGACGTATCTTGCTATCTATAAACAAGATTCCGATACTTCCTGAACCCCAGCTGCTCGGGAAAGATCAGCTCCAGGAAGGGCACCAGGACGCCAATATTTGAAGCCGCGGAAGGAAGCCGGATGACAACTAGCCCGGGGTGCTGGTAGGCAGTCACCACCCTGTAGATAATGTGGCCGAAGGTGTGTGTGTGTGTGTGTGTGTGTGTGTGTATGTGTGTGTGTACACACACACACACACACACACACACACACACACACACACACACACACACACTGGGATTCGGGAATATCAACAAAACCTGAAATTTTTCAGGTTCAGTACATCTGAACCCGAAAAATACCAAAAAAAATATAAAAATTGTTGCACACCCCTAGCTGGAAGTGATGTCACGACACTGGAGTTTTATTTATACATTTGTTTATTTCATTGATTTTATTTACATCCCGCTTTTCTTCCCAACGAAGACCCAAAGCGGCTCATGTCATTCTCCTCTCCTCCGTTTTAAGCTCACAACGACTCTGTGAGGTAGGTTAGGCTGAGAGGGTGTGACTGACCCAGTGAGCTTCCGTGGCACAAGTCAGAATTCAAACCTGGGTCTCCCAAATCCTACCCCATACACCATGCTGCCAATAAACCCCCCCCCTTTTCCCCCTGCTGCTAAGCTGAGCGGCAGTGGTAACGAAAAAACGGGGGTCTGGAAGTGTCCCACCAGAAACCTGGCAAGCCCGAGTCTGACCTCAGCCCCCGCCAGATTCTCACCTTTGGCCCCTGCGAGGGGGCCAGGAGGCTCCAAGTCAGGTTGGGGTAATAAAGGCTATAGAGCTCCGGGGACGCTGAAACCATCTCCACATGGAAGCGGTGGCCGCCGAAGACGTAGATGGCATCGGTGCCTTCGTGGTAGACCGCCGAGTGCCCGTACAGACCTCAAGTGGAAACAGCAGCAAGAAATACTTAGCTCTCTAAGGGGTTATACTTCAAGGTTCCCTTCTGCGACCCCAACCCCCGGTTACCCCCAGAGCGCCACACTTGGGGTTCGTGGATGCGCTACCTGTTGGGGGCGTCCCAGCCTGGTTCCCGGCATGCCAGCTCTCCAACGCCACGTTATATTCCAGCAGTTTCTTGTTGAAGCCGTTCTCCGGAGAATAGCCACCGATCAGGAGCAAAGAAGACCCCTGCCGGGCTGTGAGCGTGTGTCCCGCCACGGCTGGGATCAGGGGGTCCTGAGGCGATAAGAACAACAAGAAAGTGATTGTCAGGACCCAGATAAGCGGGGTGAGGAATTGACTGAGGGGTCGGCCCCCTTCTCTCTGCCTGCCTGGTACTCTGTGCTTCTTTAGAGTGAGCAGAAAGAACTGGGCATCAAACGATAACTTACCACTGTCACCCCTACATCTCCGATCAGGTTCATTTATTTACAGGGCTCCTTTTGTAGAAAGAGCCCAGCAGGAACCCATTAGCATAATAGGCCACACCCAACACCAGAAACTCATTAGCATATTAGGCCACATTCCTGCAGAAGTGTGGTTATCCAGCCACACCCATCTTTTGCTTGTTTTTCTGTTTACCTTGTTTGTTGTCAAAACCCAGGGCCTTTTTTGAAGCAGGAACTCCTTTGCATGTTAGGCCACACACCCCTAATGTAGCCAATCCTAATGAGTTTCTGCTGTTGGGTGTGGCCTATTATGCTAATGAGTTCCTGCTGGGCGTGGCCAACTCGGGAGCCAGCCGGAACTCCGTTCCTGTGCGTTCCTGCCCAAAAATAGCCCTGGATTAAACTCTTTTATAGTGCACCTCCACTGGGATAGCAGGTAACAGAGCTATTCTCTCTGTGCAAAGGAACTAGGCATATCTGCCCATTCTTTCCTCCCCTCTTTGATGTGGCCTTGAAGCCTTTGACACATGCAGTCCAACATAACGAGCACAATCAGCATGATCAGCTTCAGAGCTGCTGGTAAAGAATATAAAATTTTGCTTTATGCTAATGATACCCTCCTGGCATTCACTAGTCCCATGTCTGCTGTACTTCTTGTTAATGATGTACTTTGGAGCAGTTCACTACATTTGTTTATTTCATTGATTTTATACCCGCCACTAGATTTGGTTGATTTCAATATGTCTGATATTTTTCCATTATGTATAAATCCCATAACTTCTTATACCATAAGTTCAATGTTGGTTTACTTTCTGATTTCCATTTTGATGCTATTGTCGTTTTGGCTACAAATAACAGTAAAGCTATTCTTTTTCTTTGTATATTAGATCAATCATTTATTCATTTATTTTCATTTGTAGCCTGCCTTTCTCATTGGCACTATTTAAAAAAATATTTTTAATTATTTTTTGTTATAAATCAAACTCGCAAACAGAAAGGAATTTTTTTCTAAAAATAGGCAACAGTTAAGCACAGACCTATTTTTGGATACCTGTAAACATTTTCATTCTTGTAGACTGGCCCCGTTGTTATGATTTTTTTAAAAAAAATTATTTCTCTCTGGGACACGAGGCAGAATACAAGCACGACAGAACTCTTCAGACAAACAGGAAGCTGATTCACAAAATGTGAGAACGTTTGAACATTTAAATTTAACAGCAAAGAGTCCTAGTAAAACAAAGCTATTCATTCAATCAGACAGTGGGTTTTTGTTTTTATTTTAGAAGAAGAAGAAATTGGATTTATACCCTGCCCGTCACTACCCAAAGGAGTCTCAGAGCGGCTTACAAACTCCTTTTCCCTTCCCCTCCCCACAACAGACACCCTGTGAGGTAGGCGGGGCTGAGAGAGCTCTGACAGAAACTGCTCTTTTTCAAGAACAGCTCTGATGGAACTATGGCTTGCCCAAGATCATCCAGCAGGTACAAGTGGAGGAGAAGTGGGGGAATCAAACCCGGTTCTCCCAGATTAGAGTCCGCCGCTCTTAACCACTACACCAAACTGGCTTTATACATTTATACGCTGCCTTTCTCCCCCGTGAGGACTAAGTGGCTCACATCATTCCCCTGTCCTCCATTTTTGTCCTCACAACAACCCTGTGAGGCAGGTTAGACTGAGACAGTATAACTGGCCCGAGATCACCCAGCAAGGTTCCATGGCATGAGTGCGGATTCGAACCTGGGTCTCCCAGATACTAGTCCGAGACCCTTTACCATTACAACACGCTGGGTTATGAATGATGATAACAACATCTGAGTCTGAAAGCAAAGGTTCCTGGTAAAACAACATCGTGCCATGGGGCTGGGGTTGAAGAAGTAGGGAAACAAAACATTTTGTCCCTAACAGAGGTCCCCTCCTGAGCTGATCCCTCTACAAGAATGTCCACCAGAAGAATTCTCTTTGGGACTTTTTGCTTAGAGCCAGGTTGGTGTAGTGGTTAAGAGTGGCGGACTCTAATCTGGGAGAACTGGGTTTGATATAGATAGGGACTGGTATAGATAGGGACTCCGGGGCAAGGCGGTCTTTTGGTGGCGGGGGGGGGGGGTCAATAGTGTGAGGGCTCCTAGTGCCCTGGCCCCACTGCTGGACCTCCTGAGGGCACCTGGTATTTTTGGCCACTGTGTGACAGAGTGTTGGACTGGATGGACCACTGGCCTGATCCAACATTGGCTTCTCTTTATGTTCGTATTCCCCACTCCTCCACATGCAGCTGCTGGTGTGACCTTGGGTCAGTCACAAGTTGTCTCAGAGCTGTTCTCTCAAGGGCAGTCCTCGAAAGAGCTCTCTCAGTCCCACCTACCTCACAGGGTGTCTGTTGTGGGGAGGGGAAGGGAAAGGAGATTGTAAACCGCTCTGAGACTCCTTTGGGTAGTGAAAGGCGGTGTATAAATCCAATCTCTTCTTCTTCTTAGCGACAGAAGTGTGGGGGCCCTCCTGAAAGCCTGATAGGCAGACTGTCCCATAACACAGGAGCTGCCACAGAGAATGCACATGGCTCTATTACCCCCATGCAGACAATACAGGTTGTCGGTCTCCCAAATGGTTACACGCTCCCAGAAACACCTGGCCAGCTCAACGATTGGTCAGATCCAGTGGGCTCGGGGTCCGAAGTTAACAGAGACCCGTCAACGGTCTGAGCGAGGCAGTTACCTGCACGAGTCTCCACTGCAAGGTGGTGAGGTTCAGCAACCAGAAATCGCTGGCCACCCCCTCCGCGGTCAGCCCGCCGAGCACGTACATGGCTTTGCAGGAGGGGATGTAGGCGGCGGCGTGGAAGTAGCGAGGATTGGGCCCCGGGCCCCTGTCCTCTGTGCCGGCCAGCATCTGAGTCCAGCGGCGTTCGGCGATGGAGTATCTGCGGAGAGATGGTAGCCTCTGCTGTCACAGAGGAAAGCAAAGGGGGAGGGGAGGTGTCCGGGGAACTGGTCTCCTCTGGGGAAAAGCGTGCCCCTGCATCTTTACCTGTACACGTTACCCAACATCCCCTCTCGCAGCGACATGCCCCCAAACATCCAAAGCGTGGAATCCGGCCCCTCCACCATGGTGTGACCCAAACGATGCAGGAACCGGCTGGCTGTGTCCTGGAGAAGGAGGAGTCAGATAACAGAACAGGGATCCCCAACGTGCCCCCCGTGGGCACCTGGGCACCCGCCAACACCTTTCTTGGTGCCTGCCAAGTGTTTTCAGAAAATGGGCACTGCCAGGTGGGGCTTTTGCCCAGCAAGGTTTCATATCAAGAGTTTTCAGCCAAACCTTAGGAAGAACTTCCTGACAGAGCGGAAAGTGGAACAGGCTTCCTCAGCAGGTGGTGGGCTCTCCTTTCTTGGAGGTTTTCAAACACAGGCTAGATGGCCATCGGACGGCAATGCTGATTCTCTGAACTGAGGCAGATGACGAGAGGGAGGGCAGGAAGAGTTGCCTCGGTGCTTAGGTCTCGTGGCCCTTCCTTACACGCCCAGGGAAATGCCGGTCGCCCCTTTGGGGGTCAGGAAGCAATTTTTCTCCAGGCCAGTTTGGCTGGAGATCCTGGAGGTTTTTTGTCATCTTCTGGGCGTGGAACAGGGGGTCACTGGGGGTGTTTGCGGGAGGTATTTGTGAATTTCCTGCATTGTGCAGAGGGTTAGACTAGAGGACTTTGGTGGTCCCTTCCAACTCTATGACTCTCTATCAGCCACTGGAGATTTGATTGGCTGTGCAGGTTTCCTAAACTGTTGCTTTGGCGGCAGCTGCCACCACGGCACCAGGATCTGCGCTGTGGGAATGAAGGAAACCTGAGGCAGCCATTCCGTGACTGGCTCCGCCTCCTGGGGCAGCCATTTTGGGGCTGTGCTCACCACACCCTGTCAGGATTCCAAAGGTGCCCCCAGGCTCAAAAAGGTTGAGGACAGTTAAGATTCATGTAAGCATTCTCCGGGGAGGGGGGGGAATCAACCCCCAAACATTCCCCCGCTCACATACAAGTCTGCTCTCTAATCTCTCATGCAGAGGATAACCCAGAAGCTGCCATGCAGGAGGTTACGCCCGGCCTCTGCTTGGGTGGGCCCGGGAGAGGGGCGTCACTCACCGCCGTCAGCTGGGTGTCGATCAGGGTCTCCCAGACGATCTTGCCAGCATCCAGTGGGATGGAGCAGTCCGCCCCGGCAAACCCCTCGCTGCAGACGCACAACGCCAGGCTCTGGAGAGAGGGGCGGAGAGACGGGAGAGACACGGGAGGGGGAATCAGGATCCCTTCTGCGCCAGCGTTGCTCTGGACCGGCCTGCAGAGGCTGCTATGGATGCATCTAGTCTGGGTTGAAAATGTCTCCGGGGTCAGTGGGCTCCCGTCGTCCTCTGGAAACTACCCAAGGCCCCCTCCCGCAACCAGATCTGTCCCCATGAACACTGCGGCCCGAACACAGTCTGTTCATCTTTTGTAAGGAGCCCTGAGTGACGTGACCCTCTGCGACAGCTGTAGATTTTGTGCACCAACAGTGGGGGGAAAAAGCCATTTGAGTACCAAAGAAAGGAGAACACTCTGGATCTGCCTGGCAACTGTCGACCTCACCCGGAACGCCCCTCTCTCCTCTCTTCCCATTGGCTGATCTAGCACAGGCATTCCAGAGTGGCGTCCGAGAGCTCAGCGGTTCTCCCTGAGCCGCCTTCTTCCCCTGACCGAAAACCTGCCCCCCCTCCCCTGGGGATCACTCACCCTGTTGCAGACCCCTTGCCTGGCGTGGGCGCTGCAGTTGCCCGGGCAGACCTGGATCTGGCAGTTGGGCCCCGTGAAGCTGCCCTTGCAGACGCAACGCCCTTCCTGGCACTCCTGGTTGGCGTGGCAGTTCGGCCGGCAGCGGTGGACCGTGTAGGTGGCGTTGAAGCCCGAAGACTCGCTGGAGTTGGCCTCGTAGTAGATGACGAGGAGGCCTGCGGAGACGGGGCCCAGCAGAGAATCAAGGAGAGAAACTACTGCGGTGGAGCCGTGCTATGCGGGTGGCCTCGAACGGGTCCCTCTCTCTCAAGGAGGACTTGTGCAGCACAAAGACGTCCTTGTCCCCCGTGCAGTTGGCATGAGGCACTTGCGTGCATTTACTGCAACTTTTTTGGAAACTTCCAACAATACCTTCTGAACAAGACCTAGTAGTGAAGACTATGGCAAGTGCGGAAATGGATAAATTGGCTTTGATGCTAAAAGGGCAAATGGAAGACGATTTCGTCGGACTATGGACTCCCTTTTTACGACTGGATAAGGAAGAAATGTAAAGTCGTGACCTTTTTGATAATATAGTATGAAGACGCCTTTATGAAGTTTTAAAATTTCACAGTCTATCCTTCTGTAATATGCAGGGCTACTTTTGGGCAGGAACACACAGGAACGGAGTTCCGGCTGGCTCCCAAGTTGGCCACACCCAGCAGGAACTCATTAGCATAATAGGCCACGCCCAACAGCAGGAACTCATTAGGATTGGCTACATTAGGGGTGTGTGGCCTAACATGCAAAGGAGTTCCTGCTCCAAAAAAAGGCCCTGGGTTTTGACAACAAACAAGGTCAACAGAATAAGAAGCAAAAGGTGGGTGTGGCTGGATGGCCACACTTCTGGTAACACGGGGGTGTGGCCTAATATGCTGATGAGCTGTGCTGTCAGGGGTGTGGCCTAATAGGCTAATGAGTTCCTGCTCTTTGGTATGGCCTATTATGCTAATGAGTTCCTGCTGGGCTTTTTCTACCAAAAAAGCCCTGGTAATATGAAATGATAAGTAGAGAAGATTTATAAGCAAGAAGACATTACTTTTGATTCCTTTCCTTCTCTGTCCGTGTGTACCCTAAAAATTTAATAAAGTACATTATATATAAAACAAGGCACTTGCATGCAGCTTCAAATGTCTCTCTCCCCTCCGTTTTCTCACAACGAGAACCCTGCGAGGTAGGTTGGGCTGAGTGTTTGGAACAGGCCCAAAGTTGCCTGGTGAGCTTCCGTGGGAGAAGTGGGGATTCGAACCTGGGCTGACCAGAGCCCTAGTCTGACCCTCTATCCACTACGCATGCTGGGGATTCTGGGCTCAAATTCTGCACAGTCCCAGATGTCTCTCGCCACCAGAGGAGGGAAGCCGCTCCTCACCTAACGCCTCCCATCCCAGACATCTGACCGGCCACAGTCAAGATACAGAATTGTTGGATTTGTACCCCGTTCTTCACGTGGCGTCTCAGAGCGCCTTACAGTCTCCTTTCCCCTTCCCCTCCCCACAACAGACACCCTGTGAGGTAGGTGGGGCCGAGAGAGCTCCGAGAGAAACTGCTCTTCAGAGAACAGCTCTGAGAGAACTTGTGACTGACCCAAGGTCACCCAGCTGGCTGCATGTGGAGGAGCGGGGAATCAAACCCAGTTCTCCCAGATTAGAGTCGGCTGCCCTTAACCACTAACCACAGGAGGGGGCCCTGATCTAGCCCAGCAACTCTACTGAGTGCTGGTTGCCCATGGGGATTCTCGCCGTCCTCCCTTCGCCACCCTTCCTCCGCCAGGCTTGGCTTACCCGAGAGAGCTTCCACCATGACGGGTCGGGGACGGCCCTGGCCACAGAACGCCCCGATCAGCGTGCGGTCCAACTGGATCAGGCCCGTGTTCAGGAAGTCAGGCAGACCGTCGAAGGCATAGACGTAACTGGTCTAGGAAGATGGGTGAAGAGTGGGGGCTTAGAATTCTTGTCCTTAAAAAGGAACTCTGTGGTTGTTTGAAAAATCAGACCTGACCTCCCCTCTCCATGGGCGGTGGAAAGGGGCATCTAGGCACTGCTGACTCATGGCGAACCCTGTTACGTTTTTTTAAAAGCTGATATAGAGAATAATAGAAGAGATTGGATTTATACCCTGCCCTTCAGTTCCCGAAGGCGTCTCAGAGCGGCTTACAAACCCCGTTCCCTTCCCCTCCCCACAACAGACACCCTGTGAGGTAGGCGGGGCCGAGAGAGCTCTTTCAAGGATGGCCCTTGAGAGAACAGCTCCGAGAGAACTTGTGACTGACCCAAGGTCACACCAGCAGCTGCATGTGGAGGAAGGGGGAATCAAACCATGCTCTCCCAGATTAACCTCTACACTGAACTGGCTCTCGGACATGTGTATATATTCATTTTTTATTACTGAATGCTTCAGTAGGGGGGGCTGCAAACTGTAAAAACCGGTTCAGCTCGTGACGGAAGCAGAAAGGTTAACGTCTGTTACATAACCGGGGGAGGGAAGGGGGGGGCTCCTATCCATTCTCTTACTAGTCTTTTGTGGGAGGGACAAAATCGTGAGATATGAATGACATAGAAGTGGGAAACGGATTTCAAAATTCCTGGCTATCGCATTTTTATCAGGGGGGGGGGCAGACTTCAATAGGCATGGGATATTTGGGAGGTGGGGATAGTTGCCAACTCCAGACTGGGAAATCCCTGGACATTCAGAGTTGGCATCCCATCTCTTCTGAGCACCCCCAAAGCTGCCGTGTTCTCTAGGGGAACTGATCTCTGTAGTCTCGAGATCAGAGCTGTAACTCTGGGACTGTAGCCTGGAGATCAGAGCGGTAACTCTGGGAGAACCCCAGGCCCCTCCTGGAGGTTGGCAACCCTGGAGCCAATTTAGGGGGAAGACGGAAGGAAGCCCACGCCCCCTTCCCCACCCGGAACTCCTGTGTCGTTTGTAAAACCGGAAGCAGGAAAACTATCCTCCCGTTTCTAGGCTACTCTCCATCCCCAGAGGGACCACACAGCCCCGTAGCTAGGGACTTTTGGGGGAGGGGGCCATGGGGGGGGCCGGCAGCTAATTTAATCAAAAGTTCCAGGTAACCCTCCGGTGGCGGGCCATGCGCTTTCTCGGCCACTTCACCGGGCGGGAGGACGATGCGGG